TAGGGAGTGCAGGATGTGATCAGCTGGCTCTAAGCTGACTGCCAGTAGCAGAGCCCAAAACAAGAGTGGCATAAACTCACAGGGATGTATTTTTCTCTTACACACACACACACACACACACACACACACACACACACACACACAGGTATTGGCACAATGACTCACAAGCATCCTAGACTGGCCTTCTCATCCTCCAGGCACTTCATGGTCTAACATGGCTGCTGGAGCTCCAACCGTCATGTTGGTATCTCAGTTAACAAAAAGGAAGAAGGTGGGTCCACCGAACAAGCTCTCCAAGGGAATCTGAGGAAAGTGACTTATCAACTGGGAACCTTTCCAAGTGTCCCATTAGTAGGGACATTGGGCCAATGCCTAGGAATTTATGCCATATATGACTTGTAAGAGTGGCCCAGGAAACTCAGACTGGTCCTGTTAAGGGGTTTCTTGGTAGGTTGGTGAAAGGGGTGGGAAGGGAGGTGTCACCTTACTCTCAGGCCTGGAGGCTCTGGGAAGCTGGCGATGTTATCTCACAGGCATTCGTGTGGGGCCACGGCTGCATGGATCTTTGGTCGGCACTGGGTGTTGATTTCCTGAACACAGATCCACTCTGCACACCCAGTGATGTGCACACCAGCTTCTTCCCCTCAGCATTTTCCTATGGCCTTCCTGGCCGTGTCCCTTCCCACCTTCCAGACCCCTGGCTGCCAGGGATTCAGACTGCCCCAGTGACATCACCCACTGAGTTCGCAGAGGCTTTGCCTCCCCACCCAGGCTATGCTGAGGCCACACGGCCACGAGCCTCCAGTTCCTCAGAAGCCAGGACCCCAAAGATGCGGAGCAGGATGTCACTGCTCACAGAACCTAAGTGGAAGAAAACAGAGTGCTGGAGGTGCCTTGCCTGGGTCTGCTGCAGACTGGACCTGAGACTGTCAGCCATGAGCTGACCCTGACTGTAGAAGCTTGAGAACTAACAATAGCTGCCTTTGGGGCTGCGGTACAGTGAGGCCGGCTCCTGCTGCGCGTTAGCCCTGCTGGCTCCTTAGAACTTGCCATTTGCCTTCAAAGAAGCAAGTGCGTGGAAATGCTGTTTCTGCCGCCTCACCTATCCCCAGGCACCCCCAGCATCCTGGGCATGAGCACGTCTGCAGGTGTGTTGCTAGTGCCAGTATTTGCTTGAGGTGTAGATTTTCCTGCGTCCTCAGTCTTCACAGTCAGAGTGACCATTTATTGGCATCTGCCAGTAATCCTAGCTACTCAGGAAGCTAAGGCAGAAGGATGGTAAGTTCAAGGCCAGCCTGAGCAACACTGCAAGACCTGTGTGAAAAATGAAGAGAGAAGGGGGTTGGGATGTAGCTCAGGAATCAAGTGCTTGCCTAGCATGTGTGAAGCCCTGGGTTTGATTTCTAGAGCCATGAAAAAGAGAAAGAGGGAAGAGGGAGTGAGAGAGGAAGGGAGGGAGGGAGGGACAGCAAGAGAGAAGGGGGAAGAGAGGAAGAGGAGAGGAGAAGAGAATAGAGGAGAGGAGAGGAGAGAGAGGAGAAGGGGAGGAAAAAAAGGGAAGGGACCCCTAGATGGGCACATCTTACTTAATCATTGAGGTTCTCGAATTCCTGAGGAAAGAGTGGAACGTCACCATGACAACTTGCAGCCACTCCATCCTGCCAGTCTCCATTCTTCGCCTATCTGGGGTGGCTCCTCTTCATTTCCCACTTGCTAGGACCTGACACAGAAACAACCCAGGCAAGGTGTTTGTGCTGCTGTCGTTCAACCCTTGTAGCCCTGGTCTAAGACACAGCCTCCGAAAGTTGATCCCAGATGTTCAGGTGGCCTAGTGTGTTAGTCGGCTTTCTGTCACGATAACAAAAGATCTGAGACAGCTTACTTACAAGAGAAAAGGTTTATGCTGACTCACAGTTTTGGAGGGTCCAGTCTGTCATCACATAGTCTTGTTGCGAAGCCTGTGGTGGCACGAAACTGCTCACCTCAAGAGAGGAAGAAGAAGGGGTGCAGCCTTCATGGGCACCTCCTCAGTGACTTGAGAGGCTCCCATAAGACCCCAGCTCTCAAAGGTTCCACATCTTCCCAGAAGTGTCATCTTGGAGCAAGCCTATAATGCATGCACCTTTGCAGAACATTCAGTATCCAAACTGTTGCAGTGGAAGGGATGATCGGGGGCCACAGGAGAGCAGTGTGTGGGAACCTAAGCTCCCCGCTGTAGCTCCCTGTGGAGGGGTGGGGGACAGAGCCAAGGGTGAGCTTGGGACTGCTGCTGCCCAACTTCTTAGCAGTCCTGGTCTTTCGGATGCCATCGAGTGGCAGAATGAAAGTCAAGTCCCGTTCATTTCAATCTCACATGGTACACCCACAGGAAGTTTCTGGTACCGTCTCTAAATCCTCCTCTGAGTCCATTTGCACAAGTTTATAGGACCAAAGCTCCTTTTCATATTGCAGTCTTTTCTAATTTGTTCCCAGCTCAGCCCCTAGCCCTCCAATCTATTCTCCCCCAAGTCCAAACCCCATAAGCAGCAGGGTCTCTCTCCATAAGAGGCAAAGAATAGAATTTGAGGGGTGTCTTCAGGGAAGCACTGGGAGATTTGTCCAGTGATTATATGCTCCTCTTAGGAATTGCTTGTGAGCAGAACCCTGTAGGTAGGGATGTCCTAAAAGGCGCAGGCTTCCTCCTAAATGTCTCCACTAACTCAGGAAAATTACAGAGAATCCACATGGCCAATAGGAAACAGCCCCAGATCTCCCTGCACTACGATGCCAAGACACATAGGCATAGGAATGTATGATGTTAGGACATGCCTTCCTTGTCAAGAAGGCCAGGGAAGGGCCAGGGAGATGGCTCAGTGGAATAAGCGCTTCCCTGGCAAGCGCAAGGACCTGAGTTCAATCCCCAGTTCCGGGAAAA